AAGAAGAGATTACTAAGTAGAATAAATTGTGTTGTATTTCTGCTGTATTATAATTTCGTTTGCAATTATAAGTGTGAGTAAATGCGTCTAACCATATGTGTGTCTTATCTCTATGTTCGACTTCACAACTAGGTTAAGTTCCGTTTTATGGTTTATACGGGGGACTTCCATGCAAGAACATTAGTCGCACGTTACTGAGTCAGCTATCAGAAATGTTCAGAAGTCGTATATCATATGAGTTGGAGGTGAGAAACGTAGCTGTCTTTGAAATTTCGCAACTTCTCATAAAATAGAGGTATTTTTGTATTGCATTTGAAACTCTTCTAATAATTGTTTAAAAATTTATTCGTAATCTTGTGAAACGTATAAATGTTTTTTTTTTTTTTTTTTTTTTTTTTGTCACGATATGAATTTCAGTAAACCAGTGATTCAAACCGATATTGATATCAGCGATTAGAAAATATTAACAAAAGATTTCTAGTGGTTAACGTTTGTTTCAGACAGTTGTATTTTTAAAATTTATTTACATGGATCTTGTATTAAATATTGAAATTTAGCCTTCAAATGTTTTTCTAATATTTTATTTTGTCCCTAGATTTAAGTGCTGCTTGTTGCAAAATAAATGCAATAAAAATATTCTGTGTAAAAAAATAATTTATTCAGGGAGTATTAATCAGTAAGTGACATAATAATTTGAACACTTATAATAATTTGAAATTTTGCTGAAGTGTTTTGAAGGACAATGTTTCATGTCATAATTTTTTATTTTAAATGAAAATATGTTGCAAGAATTATTGTCTGCATTTTGAAATACACTTGTTTCCAAAAATTAAGGGAAACTCTCAGAAGTAGGAGTACCTCTTTCAAAAATAAGCCAATCCGTATAAAATTGGACAGTTTTGTGAAATAAGAATTACTGAATTAAAACTGCCATATGCAAATTAGTGGCATTGTGTTCGGAATACATCATCTGTGAGGAGCATAAAATTAATGTTTGAGAACAAGTCTGCAAATTTTGCAATGATACTGAGATAAGAAATCTGGGATAGCCAATTGTTAAAAATGACTTTTGAATATCATTTGTCTGAAGAACTGCGATGGAGAGCTACTGAGAGACTAGAGACAGGACAAAGTCAGACAGAAGTGGCTAAATGCGAGTCCTGTTTTTCATAGACTTTGGTAACAATTTCTAACTACAGATACAGCATCCAGGAGGTTCAGCCAACTGCTATGATGAATGCTGGTGACTGATATTTGTTCTTATGCACACGAAGAAATAGAACTGCAATCCTCTAGGCTTGTCATAGATTTCATAATTTGGGAATTGACCATGGATGAAAAGTCTGCGATTGATTTATTTTGAACAACAGGCATCACCAAACAATAATTGTGCTCGAAAGATCATGAAATGAAATTGGATTTTGAACAAAATGCTGTGAAATCGCATTGTAGGAAAGGATCTTGCGATTGCAAAAGCAGAATTGGTTTGAAGTTTTTTGAAAGCAGAGGCTTATATATATGAACCTCACAATTCTGGTTGGAAGAGATGACGTCAGTTGAATTTTGCAAATTACAGCTTAAGATGAACCATAATGCAGCCATTGATTAGAACAGTTATATGCTGGAGGTTTGTGCAGCAGCCTTAATAGCCTGGCTAACAGTGGAAATCAGCAGAATCAACAAGATTGTCAAAACATACAAAAGTCTTCTCACTTAGAGAAAGATCAATGTTTGGTAGGTTTTTCCACAACAGTGGGGTTTTAGTGATTGTGCAGAGAATCCAGTGAATGCTATTAGTTACAGTCCTTAATCAATCAGCGAAATCTTTGGTTGATCTTTGGATTATGGTAACTTGGCGAAAATTTGGCGACCAACTCTGCTACAGCAACCCTCTATTTTTTCCCCCCACCATTTTCTTACGAAAGTAAAGTAAAGACATGTTTCTTTTCTTTTTATTTATGAACACTTTTTCCAACATCTACTAGCCGAATTACACTCATGCTAGAACTTTTATGGAACAAAAGTGCTTAATCCTGACAAATATTAACTGCAAAATTGGGAAAAGCACAATCGAAACTCCTTGCCATTTTCAGAATAGCACATACACATAAACCATTTACACGTCGACTTATTTTTACTTAAAAAAATATCCCAGAATCAAAAAAAAAAAAAAAAAAAAAAAAAAAAAAAAAAAAAAAAAAAAAAAAAAAAAAAAAAAATGGCATTGCACCACACTCTTAATTTATCCATCTACAGCTATTTTCTCATAAAAAAAATTTGCACGAAAAATGCAAAAAATTCTGTGAATATTTAAACTTGGTAAAAAGAACGTATATGAAATTACTGATCGCGAAAAAGTATTACCGTTCCAAGGATGAACATTTTCACGTATAAAAATAAATAAAAATCCAAAAACTTTTACCTCTAAATTATATTATATATAAACGTCACCAACGAATTCATACCGCAAACATTACAAATGGTTACAAATACTTAGTGTCAAATATTTAAATTCTTTCCATGCACATTTACTTCAACTGAAACATATACCAAATTCCTACAAACATAAAATTCATAAAATAACTATCATTTAATTAAAATATCACTAAACCATGTACACGTTGACTTATTTTTACTTAAAAAACATCCCAGAATTACACAAAAATTGCATTGCGCACTCTCTTCACTATATCCATGTACACTGTGTTTTTCTCATAAATTAGAAAAATTTCACGAAAATGCATGAAAATTTGTGAATCTTTAAATCCGGTAAAAGAAAATATATGAAATTACTGATCGCAAAAAAATATACTCTTTCCAAAGATTAATTTCCACGTATAAAATAAAATATCCAAAATTTACTCTAAATTATCTATTATACAGTCAAAAGTCATTAATCCGGACTCGCGGGACTTCAGCGATTCGGATTATCGATTTTCCGGATTATAGATCATCAGTTTAAATCTCGTAAGATGGCATGCAGAAAATTCCAAAATAAAAATTTGAAACCGTAATTATGAAATAAAGAACAATTATGATAAAGGGTATCAAATTTGCAAAAAGAAAAAGCTTAATTTTTGTTTACTTATTAACATTTCTCAATGTAAGTGTTTAAGTTTGCTTCGTTTCATGTGATAATACTTTCTCTTTAATTCTATTAAAAGACATAATTCTGTTCAGTTTACAAGTTCCGCCGTTCAAGTCCTATAATTGCTGTGTCAAGAACACCGAACTAATTGTCATCGAAATTTTTTGTTTCAATAACCTCTGTCACTTTTTCGCTATCGGAAGCGAATTATAATGACGAGGAACTTGTTTTAAATCATATCAAAACGGAGCATATCGAGATGAATGCTTATTGGTAAGGAATTATAAGCCAAATAAAAAAAAAACATCTGCGCTGAAGATAAGGTTAGTGCTGACAAATCAACTTCCAATCATTACGCGCCCGCCGCCGAGCAGCGTGAAAATGATAACAGATTCGGATTTCAAAACCTTTCGCTTTAGACCTTTACATATTAACAAATATATATCGGAAATTCTATTGATATAATCGAAAAGTTTAAGCTTACTTTATAAAAATTGCTCTTACAGTCTGCAAAAAATAATAAGCCGGATGCAATTCGAAAATTAAGGAACAGCGCAATCATCAACATTACTGAAATAGATAATTATTAGCATACGTCCTTATACATAAAATGCGCACGCGAAACGTATTCTGCACTGCGGCACATGCATATGCGCAGTCGTAAAGGTCTTACGCGCAGGCGTGAACGCCTATGCACATGTGTCAACTCGGCGCATGCGCAGAAATTTTTTAGCTTGGAGGTCTGGATTATAGATCATTCCGGATTATGGGTGTCCGACTTAATGACTTTTGACTGTATTAAACGTACCACGATTCATACCTCAAATAATACAAATGGTTACAAATACTTAGGTAAATATTTAAATTATTTCCATGCACATTTCCTCCACTGAAATGTATACCAAATTCTTACAACATATAATTCCAAAATAACTATCATTAATCAAAATATAATTAAATTCAAAAACACTACTTAAATATAAATAAGCACATACATTAAATTAAAAAAATTACTTACAATCTAATTACTTTAACTAAATATTGCTAATAACAATTTTCCAAAATACCATATCACTTTCTTATCCTTACATTTTAGAACAATGCATAAAAATAATATCCTAAAAATTAAAATACTACTTACTAATCTTCTCAGAATCTTGATTACGTGGCGATAAACTTTTCTTATTCCTCCTCTAATAAAAAGCAAGCATATGTGACCTGTTTCAGGATCTTTAAAATCATACTTATAGTTCACAGCAAGGGACCAGGTAAAAAATACTTAATAAAACATCTTTACTTATCTCACACAACTTAAAAAACACTTATTACTAACCTTTCAACCCACTAATACCCATTTCAATTCACTTAGTTAGGGCCTGGGATCCAAAAATTAACCAACACTGTTTCACACAACACAGAATAAGCTAAATACAAAATTTCCAGATTTCCCCTTTCCGATTAAAAGAATAATTCGTAATTAATGTCAATGACATATCTCATGATCTACGTTTCCCTCACACAAAAATATGCTAATCGGAACTGAGTACTTCTCCGTTATTACCAAATCCTAGGTTCCTTGATATAGCCTCCAAAATGTCGCCAAACTACCATTACATTAAAGTCAAAATCTTTATTTGTGTTATTACTAAAACATAGTCTTATCATTAAATATCATTAAATAAAAATACTTCCTTCACTCATCCCAGATACCGAGCAATCCAGAAAAAACTAAAGACAAAAACTTGCTCACTTACCTGGGTAGTGTGATGTTGAATCTGTAATAAAAACTCTAATATGTTGATTTATTTAATTATATTCTCTCTATACTACAAAATATATACATTTTTTAACAATTGTCGGGAAATTTTTCTGGCCCCGAAAGTTATTACACAATCAGTTCACGTCACGAGGTCGAAAGGGGAAAACCCTTTTTTTTCTTCCTACTTCAATGACAGCCAACGCCATCTGTGTCTCGTACATCAAAATGAAGAGATTTGTTTTTAATATTTGTTAGATACAGCTAATCAGTTTCACAACTCTCCCACCTTTTTGATTTTCAGAAGGAAAATCAAAAATCAAATAATGGTATCCTTAGTACAGGAACACACTTCTAGAGGGTACAGTTTACGTACAGGACGAATCAGTATGCCATTTCTAGTTTTCACTTTTTACAACTCTTACACGTCCATCTCTGCTTGTACAAAGTT